ATGCTTCCTCTCCATTGATCGCCCTCCACAAGCATGGCCCTCTCCATTGATCGCCCTCCACGAAACCGAAAAATGCACGGGAAACTGCCGGAAAAGTGTTCTCGACATGTTTCGAACATGTTTTTCCCAACCATCCTGTGGTGTTGGGTCCTCGTTTTGAAGAGACAGCGCCCCGCGTTCACTCCTCCTCCTCCTCCCGCTGCCCCCTCCCCCTTCCTCCTCCCTCCTCCCCCTCTTCCCTGCGTTTCACCCACCCAGTACAGCGCTTCGTAGCCCCATAGGGAGCTCCACCGAAGGCCCCAGTGCCCGCGCCCGCATGCGTCACGCACACCCAATTCGGCACACCCCTCACACGTTTCGTGGCTCCATAGGGAGCTCCGCCGAAGGCCCCAGTGCCCGCGCTCCATTAAAGGGAGCTCCGCCGAAAGCCCATGCCCGCGCTCCGCCCGCATGCGTCACCCACACCCATTTCGGCACACCCCTCACACGTTTCGTGGCTCCATAGGGAGCTCCGCCGAAAGCCCCAGTGCCCGCGCCCGCATGCGTCACCCACACCCATTTCGGCACACCCCTCACACGCTTCGTGGCTCCATAGGGAGCTCCACCGAAGGCCCCAGTGCCCGCCGCCCGCATGCGTCACGCACCCCCTTTCGCAACAAACCCCATCACACGTTTCGTTGCTATATCATAGGAAGACTCACCGAAGGCACCCAAACGTCCCGCGCCCTGCTAATGGCGTCAGCCACACCCATTTCGGCACACCCCTCAAACGTTTCGTGGTCCCATAGGGAGCTCCACCGAAGGCCCCAGTGCCCGCGCCCGCATGCGTCAACCACACCCATTTCGGCACACCCCTCACACGTTTCGTGGCCCCATAGGGAGCTCCGCCGAAGGCCCCAGTGCCCGCGCCCGCATGCGTCACCCACATTCATGTCGGCACACCCCTCACACGTTTCGTGGCTCCATAGGGAGCTCCACCGAAGGCCCCTGTGCCCGCGCCCGCATGCGTCAGCCACACCCATTTCGGCACACCCCTCACACGTTTCGTGGCCCCATAGGGAGCTCCGCCGAAGGCCCCAGTGCCCGCGCCCGCATGCGTCACGCACACCACCATTTCGCCACAAAATAACCCCACACACTTTCGTGGGCCCAATAGGGAGCTCCGCCGAAGGCCCCAAGTGCCCGCGCCGCATGCTCACGCACACCCAATTTCGGCACCCCAACCCCCCACAACGTTTCGTGGCCCCCAATAGGGAGCTCCAGCGAAGCACCAGCGCTGCCGCCCGCATGCGTCAGCACAAGCTACCCACTTCGGCACAAGATATGGAAGGAAGCCGCGTCCCCCACAACGCTTCGTGGCCCCATAGGGAGCTCCACCGAAGGCCCCAGTGCTGCCGCCCGCGTGCGTCACGCACACCCAATTCGGCACACCCCTCACACGTTTCGTGGCCCCATAGGGAGCTCCACCGAAGGCCCCAGTGGCGGCGCTCACATGCGCATGCGTCCCGCACACCCATTTCGGCACATCCCTGACAGGTTTCGTGGCCCCATCATCCACCGGAGGCCCCAGTAGCGGCGCTCACACGCGTCACCCACACCCACCCAATTCGGCACACCCCTCACACTTTTCGTGGCCCCATAGGGAGTTCCACCGAAGGCCCCAGCGGCCGCGCTCACATGCGTCCCCGCCACCCATCCCGGCACGCCCCTCACAACAACAGGTTTTGTGGCCCCATAGGGAGCTCCACCGAAGGCCCCAGTGCCCGCGCCCGCATACGTCACCACCCGCACCCAATTCGGCACACCCCTCACACGCTTCGTGGCCCCATAGAGAGCTGCACCGAAGGCCCCAGTGGCGGCGCTCACATGCGTCCCCGCCACACATCCCAATACACCCCTCACGCGCTTCGTGGCCCCATAGGGAGCTCCACCGAAGGCCCCAGTAGCGGCGCTTACATGCGTCTCCGCCACCCATCCCGGCCCCCCCCCGCAGCAGCGTCATGTTTCGGGGACCCATAGGGAGCTCCACTGGAGGCCCCAGTGGCGGCCCTCACATGCGTTTCCGCCACCCATGTCGGCACGCCCCGCGCGTGTTTCATGTCCCCATAGGGAGCTTCGCCGAATGCCCCAGTGGCACCCATCTCGGCACACCCCTCACACGTTCCGTAATCCTATGGGGAGTTCCATTGAAGATGAAACCCGCAGCTGCGGTACTGACAACAGCATATGGTTGGGTTCTTCGCCAGGCTAATTTTAAATGTTTTGGCACATGTTGTAGACATCTGGAAACTGTTTGGCAACATGCTTCCTCTCCATTGACCGCCCTCCACTAGCATAGGCTTAGGTGGCATCCGCCCACGCGGCGCCCTGGGCTCCGAGCGGCGGCGACGCCGCCGCGGCGGCGGCGCGCGGCCCGGCGCCCGCGGCCGCCGGGGCGCCGGGCGGCGCGGGGGCGCCGGCGGGAGCCGCGGCGACCTCAGCGGGGGGGGGCAGCGCGCGGGGCGGGGGCGCTTCGAGACTCAGTGAAGGGGCCCTGGGACACACACATAAATACACACAAATCACAGGCTCCCCGATCTTTTCCCATGTTTTCTGGATTGTCGTCTTCCCCCCCCCACTTCCCATATCTTCGCATATGTTCCTGGGAGTCGACGGTTAATTGTGTCTGTGTGTGTCTTTTCCCCTCCTGACTCAGGTCGGGCATCCCCCCCCGTGCGGATTTTGGACGAAAACTAGAAATGAGCCTGGCGAAGGACCCAACCATACGCCGAGTTTCTTAACGAGCGTCGGGGGGGGCGTCACCACCGCCGGCAGCCCCAAATCGACCCCCTGTCGCGGGCAGCCACCGCGCGCCACAGGCGCTCCGACCTCCGTCGCGGCGCGACGAAGAGGCGAGGTTGACCCCCGCCGGGGGGGCCCCCCCCCACGCATATCAAGAAACCCTAAGCATGCAGCTGTAAGCACCGTCGTTGTATGCACCGCATTCGGCGGAACTCCCTATAGGGCCCCGAAACGTGTGAGGGGTGTGCCAGGATTTGTCCTGTAGGCGCATGCGACAGCAACCATTGGGACCGTCGGTGGAGCTCCATATGGTGCCACGAAACGTGTGAGGGGTGTGCCGAAATGCGTGTGCGTGACGCATGCGGGCGGTGGCACTGAGGCCTTCGGTGGAGCCATGTGGGGCCACGAAACGCGTGAGTGGTATGCCGAAATGGGGTGTGCGTGACGCATGCGGGCGGTGGCACTGGGGCCTTCGGTGGAGCTCCATGTGGGGCCACGTAACGCGTGAGGGGTGTGCCGAAATGCGTGTGCGTAACGCATGCGGGCAGTGGCACTGGGGCCGTCTGGGGAGCTCCCTTGTGGGGCCACGTAACGTGTGAGTGGTGTGCCGAAACGGGTGTGCGTGACGCATGCGGGCGGTGGCGGGCGGTGCCGCTGGGGCCTTCGGTGGAGCTCCTCGTGGGGCCGCGAAACGTGTGAGGAGTGTGCCGAAATGGGTGTGCGTAACGCATGCGGGCGGTGGCACTGGGGCCTTCGGTGGAGCTCCCTATGGGGCCATGGAACGTGTGAGGGGTGTGCCGGAATGCGTGTGCGTGACGCATGCGGGCGGTGGCAGTGTGTAGTCACTAAACGTGTGAGGGGTGTGCCGACATGGGTGTTCGTGACGCATGCGGGCGGTGGCGCTGGGGCCTTCGGTGGAGCTCCCTGTTGGGGCCACGAAGCGTGTGAGGGGTGTGCCGAAATGCGTGTGCGCGTGATGCATGCGGGCGGTGGCACTGGAGCCTTCGGTGGAGTTTCCTATGTGGCCACGAAGCGTGTGAAATGGGCGCGGTGGGCGCATGCGAACGCAGCCAATGGCGCCTTCGGTAGAGCTCCCTATGGTGCCTTCAGTGGAGCTCCCTATGGAGCCACGGGGCGTGGGAGGGGTGTGCCGATATGAGTGTGCGTGATGCATGCGGGCGGTGGCACGGGGGCCTTGGGTGGAGCTCCCTGTGGGGCCCCGAAACGTGTGAGGGGTGTGCCGCAATGGGTGTGCGCGACGCATGCTGGCGGTGGCATTGGGGCCTTCGGTGGAGCTCCATATGGTGCCACGAAACGTGTGAGGGGTGTGCCGAAATGCGTGTGCGTGACGCATGCGGGCGGTGGCACTGAGGCCTTCGGTGGAGCCCCCATGTGGGGCCACGACACGCGTGAGGGGTGTGCCGAAATGCGTGTGCGTAACGCATGCGGGCGGTGGCACTGGGGCCTTCGGTGGAGCTCCCTGTGGGGCCGCGAAACGTGTGAGGAGTGTGCCGAAATGGGTGTGCGTGACGCGCGCGGGCGGTGGCACTGGGGCCTTCGGTGGAGCTCCATGTGGGGCCACGAAGCGTGTGAGGGGTGTGCCGAAACGGGTGTGCGTGACGCATGCGGGCGGTGGCACTAGGGCCTTCGGTGGAGCTCCATGTGGGGCCACGAAACGTTTGAGTGGTGTGCCGAAATGCGTGTGCGGAACGTAAACGGGCGGTGGCGCTGGGGCCTTCGGTGGAGCTCCTTGTGGGGCCGCGAAACGTGTGAGGGGTGTGCCGAAATGCGTGTGCGTGACGCATGCGGGCGGTGGCGCTGGGGCCTTCGGTGGAGCTCCTTGTGGGGCCGCGAAACGTGTGAGGGGTGTGCCGAAATGCGTGTGCGTGACGCGCGCGGGCGGTGGCACTGGGGCCTTCGGTGGAGCTCCCTGTTGGGGCCACGAAGCGTGTGAGGGGTGTGCCGAAATGCGTAAGTGCGTGTTGCATGCGGGCGGTGGCACTGGGGTCTTCGGAGGAGCTCCATGTGGGGCCACGTAACGCGTGAGGGGTGTACCGAATTGCGTGTGCGGGACGCATGCGGGCGGTGGCACTCTTCCATTGCCTTGCATTGTCGTGCATTGTCTTGCATTGCCTTGCATTGTCTTGCGCTGCCTTGGACTGTCCTTGCATTGCCTGGCAAAGCCGTGCACTGTCTCGCACTGTCTTGCAACGATCGACCGCGGCTGCGGCCCCGACGCCGCGGCCCGCCGGCGAGGGAGGCCGCTCTGCAGCGCGGGCGCGCGCCGGAGGAGGCGACTCGCCGGCGGGAGGCTGCTTCGGGGGAGGGGGGGGTGGTCGGGCTCGCGGCTCGCTGGGGCTCGTGCTCCCTTCCTTCTGACTACCCACCAGGCCACCCCAGCCCAACCCGAAGACCCGGATTCGACCCGAAGTTCGGGGTGGGGGGAAGGGGGGGTACGGGGTCCCTGTGTTTTCTCCATGTTCCCCGATCCCCCCCCCCCCTTCCCTGGAAGCGGAGGGCAACTTGAGGCCTTCGGGTTGGGTTGGGGCGGTTCGGTAGTGACCTTCGCTCCTGGACGCCGCGCGGCGTCGATGCTGCAAAGTAATGCTGCCCACAGCTGTACCACAGGCGTCGCTGAAGTTCCAGCGCTGTTCAGCAGCCGTTGCAATCGTGAGAGCAGCCGCTGCTGCATGCAAGGTTTAAGTCGGGCCTGTCCCCCTACAGGGGGATTTTCGACGAACAATAAAACATACCACAAAAATAATCCAAAAATAATGCAAAAATAGTCTGGGGGCTATTTTTCGTTGATTTTTGTTGACCTGTTCGGGGTATTCTGGGGGTATTTTTTCAGCCTTCGTCGAAAACCCCCCTGTAGGGGGACACGCCCGACATAATGCAAGGTGGAGCATCTGCACCCCTCCCGGCCCCGAGAGGCGCAGGCAGTGCGGTGGGGGGGAGGGCTGGGCGCACAGGCCCCGAGGCCCCCGAGGCCGAGCACCGGCGAGGCCCAGGTCGGTGCAGTTCCGGGCGAGCCCGCAGAGTTTCTCTCCCGCCCCTCCTCGTAGTGTTACGTCGGGCATGCCCTCCTGCAGGCGGACTTTGGGCGAGGCTAAAAAAGTCCCGAAGTGCCCCCCCCCACACCCCCGTAAACAAAACAAGTCGAACAGTTGTCCCCCGACAATATGTTTTGCGGATTCGTCCCCACGTCCACAGGATGTGGTTCTTGTTACTCCTCTGACCACACCGACTCCTTCCTCACACCTCCTCCCCTCATTCTCTTCCCCATCCCGTTCAGAGTATGATGATGATGATGGCTATGATACTGATGGTGTTAATGATGATGAAGATGATGCAGGATGATGATGATAAAATGGTGATGATGATGGTGGTGATGATGATGATGATGATGCTGCTGCTGCTGCTGCTGCTGATGATGATGATGATGATGATGATGATGATGATGATGATGGTGATGGCGGAGCAAAATCTGAGGATGTGTCGAGTGAGGCGCGGGCTTCAGCACACCCAAGGGGGGGCCGCCAAGGGGTTTTGCATTCCTCCGTTCGCAACAAAATGGCGCTGTTTACCAGCTCAACATCCTCCGCTCTCGGAGCAGATTTGGAGGATGTCTCGAGCGAGGCGCGGATTTCAGCACCCCCAAGGGGGAGTCGCCAGGGGGTATTGCACTCCTCCGTTCGCGCCAAAATGGCGGGGATGCCTCGAGCGGTTTGCCTGTTTACCAGCTCAACAGCCTCCGCTTTCGGAGCAGACTTGGAGGAAGTCTCGCGCGAGGCACTCATTTTCGCCCCCAAGTGGTGCCAGATGTTGAGGATGCCTCGAGCGGTTTTTGAGGAGGCTCCAGCAGGCTCCAAAAACTCCAAGAGGCCACAGGACGACCACGAGGTATCAGGATGCCACAAGAGGCCGCAAGAGGCTCCAGGAGGCCCCAGGAGGCCCAAAGAGGCTCCAGGAGGCTCCACGAGGCTCCAAGATTCCACAAAAGGCCACAGGAGGCCACAGTTAACCACCGGAAGCGCCAGGAGGCACCAGGAGGCCACCAGGAGGCCCCAAGAGTCCCCAGGAGCAGGAGGCCTCAGAAGGCCACAGGAGTGGTGCCAATCCCATGTGTAATACGTATGCTCCTACAGATCCCCTGGAGCACGAACCAATTGTGTTTTACGTTGTACCCCCCGCAGTTGCGGATAAGAGTGTGAGGGGGCGGCGGGGGGACGTCGGCAGTCTGCGAGGCTTTGAAGAAGCCCGCCGCAGGCGTACATTTTTTCAAATGAGCCCGCCGCAGGCGCCGATTTTTTGTCAATGTTCGCGGGTTAGGTCGTAGATGGGTCGCGGGTGAGCCGACGGTGGGTCGCGGGTGGGTCGCGGGCCGGGTCGCGGGTGGGTCGCGGGAGGGTCGCGGGTGGGTCGACGGTGGGTCGCGGGTGGGTCGCGGGCCGGGTCGCGGGTGGGTGGCGGGTGGGTCGCGGGTGGGGCGCGGGTGGGTCGCGAGCGGTTCGCGGGGTGGGTCGCGGGTGGGTCGCGGTTGGGTCGCGGGGTGGGTCGCGGGTGGGTCGCGAGGTGGGTCGCGGGTGGGTCGCGGGAGGGACAACAACAACAACAACAACATCAACAACAACAACAACAACAACAACAACAACAACAACAACAACAACCATTTTAAGGCTGTACGCTCTTACTTGCCCGCGAGTCATTCAACACGTATACCCCACACCCTCGATGCCCGCCCCTCTTCGTCTTCGATCACACCCCTTTCGGGGGGATTATTTCTTTTTGCTGGGGCCGGCGGGCTTAGACGTACGGGCAAACCGGAACGGCGGGACAATCCTTCGGGGGCGTACATCTCTGTCCGCCATTGGAATTGGCGCGGGCCCTGCAAGAGGAGGAGGGGAAGAACGAGGGAGAGTGGGAGGAAGGGGAGGGGGAAGGACGAAGGAAGAGGGAAGATACCACGTTGTGAAGGCGTCCTTGGCGCGTGCGTGGTTCCTGAGCGCCGAAACGCAATTCCAGAATAATTTGTGAGGACGTCGCACGCGAGAGCGCAGTCCTGAGTACATTGTGAGGAAATCTCAAGCGGAAGCGGGGGCCCTGACTAAGTTGCGAGGAAGTCTCAAGCGGGAGCGCCGTTCCTGAGCAAATTGCACGGAAGTCTCAGGCGGGAGCGGGGGTCCTCACTAAATTGCGAGGAAGTCTCAGGCGGGAGCGCCGTTCCTGAGTCAATTGCGCGGAAATGTCAGGCAGGAGCGGGGGTCCTGAGTAAAATTCGAAGAAGTCTCAGGCGGGAGCGCCGTTCCCACGTAAATTGCACGGAAGTCTCAGGCGGGAGCGGGGGTCTTGATTACATTGCGAGGAAGTCTCAGACGGGAGCGCCTTTCCTGAGTAAATTGCGCGGAAGTCTAAGGCGGGAGCGGGGGTCCTGAGTAAAAATCGAGGAAGTCTCAGGCGGGAGCCGTTGTTGTTGTAGCCCGGGGGGCAGGGGCACAGTTTGAGCAGGAAGACTTTCCTTGAGAAAAAACAAGGTGCGAGCCCCGGGGGTGGCACTTCAATCGAAAAAAATCAATGTGCACCGGTGGGGGGGGATCAACAATAATTATTCTTCAAGAATGAGAGTTCAACAACAACAACAACAACAACAATCATTTAAGACTGGGGACACTCCGTTCTCACCAGTGCCAGGGTTTTCATAGGAGGCGGGCAATACCCCCACTTTGTGGGGGGGCCGGTTCAAGCTCTACCAAATTTCCAATACGACTCTTCGCCACCACCCACACCCAGCTTCCCGCCCTATGACGTTCGGACACTTCACTTCGTGGCATGCGGACGACCGTGGCTACTATTCAGGGCCCCGCGGCCGACGACGACGGCGTGCGCGCGCGAAGAAAAAACGAATGTGTCCCGCATGGTATTATTTGACAGGGATGATGGCCCTGGCAGGTGCGCAACCGTTGTTGCAGAAGTTCGAAAAAGTTGCTCGCAAAAGCCCGTTTGACAGAAATGTTTAAAAAGTGTTGGGTTTCCTACGAATCCGCAAGAGCGCGCGGGATGAGATTTTGACATTTTTTTGTTGAAAAACCATTGGTTTTTTGATGTTTTTATGTTAAAATCGCTGCGAACACTAAGGTTTTGGAAGGATTTCGTCTTGCGCGCGCGAATGTCCACTTTACCTTATTTTTTGCAAGGGATTCTTGAAATTTGATTATATTAGAACAAGAAATGTCATTTTCTATTGTTTTTTGCAAGGGAAAGCGGATTACAACAAAACAACCGGATCCTGTACACACCCTCTTTTCTGAGGCTTCCTCACGAAAATGATGAAAATGTAGCTGCGGCCTAGGCGGCGCAGGGGGGGCGCGCACCAGGGGGCCCAACAATAATTATTCTTTAGAATAAATAATGTTCAACAACAACAACAACAACAACAACAACAACAACAACAACAACAACAACAATTACTAGCACGTGGGGACACTCCGTTCTCACCAGTGCCAGGGTTTTCATAGGAGGCGGGCAATACCCCCACTTTGTGGGGGGGCCGGTTCAAGCTCTACCAAATTTCCAAACGACTCTTCGCCACCACCCACACCCAGCTTCCCGCCCTATGACGTTCGGACACTTCACTTCGTGGCATGCGGACGACCGTGGCTACTATTCAGGGCCCCGCGGCCGACGACGACGGCGTGCGCGCGCGAAGAAAAAACGAATGTGTCCCGCATGGTATTATTTGACAGGGATGATGGCCCTGGCAGGTGCGCAACCGTTGTTGCAGAAGTTCGAAAAAGTTGCTCGCAAAAGCCCGTTTGACAGAAATGTTTAAAAAGTGTTGGGTTTCCTACGAATCCGCAAGAGCGCGCGGGATGAAATTTTGACATTTTTTTTTGAAAAACCATTGGTTTTTTGATGTTTTTATGTTAAAATCGCTACGAAAACTAAGGTTTTGGAAGGATTTCGTCTTGCGCGCGCGAATGTCCACTTTACCTTATTTTTTGCAAGGGATTCTTGAAGTTTGGTTATGTTAGAACAAGAAATGTCCACTTTAGCTTATTTTTTGCAAGGGAAAGCGGGCCGTAACAAAACAACCGGATCCGGACCAACCCGTTTTGCCTGAGACTTCCTCACCAAAATGATGAAAATGTAGCTGCGGCCTAGGCGCGGCGGGGGGGTCGTGCACCAGGGGTCCCAACAATAATTATTCTTTAGAAGTAATAATGTTCAACAACAACAACAACAACAACAACAACAACAACAACAACAACAACAACAACAACAACAACAAGCAGAATCCTCACATAGATTGGGCCTCTCCTGGGGCACGAATCCTCCCCAGGAGGCCCCAGCAGGCTCCAGGAGGCTCCAGGAGGCCCCAGGAAGCCACACGAGGCCCCAAGAGGCCACAGGAGGTCCCAAGAGGCTCCAGGAGGCCCCAGCAGGCCCCAGCAGGCCCCAGGAGGCCCCAGCAGGCTCATGCGCAGAGACGCACTCGTGCGACTGAGACTCGTTCACGCTCCAACTCTTTCACAATGAGATTCACTTCCGGACCGTCACTGTTCTGAGCCCGTGAGTATTCGAAAACTCTTGCGCCTAGACACGCACGGCGGACAGGCCCATGCTAACAGATGCGCACATGGGGAGCTGCACACAATGAGTAAGTGAATACTCCTCCTGTAGAGGGGCACGCCCGACTTGACCCTAACGCCTGACGCTCGACGCCGACCGCTGGCCTGTCACGGGGCGACTGCGGCGCACGGGCGCCCCAACAGAGTAGCCCAGAGGTCAGAAGGCGCGCGGAGCGAGTCGACGGCTGTGGCGAAGGGGCCCTCCTTCGAAACGGACCACGCCGTCTCCGTCGCCAGCGGCGCGACACTGCGCCCGCAGCCTCAGAGCCTCCTCCTGCTCGTCCTCCTCCTCCTCCTCCTCTGCACCTTCCTTCTCGTCCTTTGCCACACACGCACAAGCAGGCATGCGAAGAACGCCAGCGGCGGCGGCAGCAGTAGCGACGACAGAGCAGGGTCATCCCAGCACCCCTTCGCCAGGGGCTGCGCATGCTGTCTCAGGGGCTCTGGTAAGCGGGGTACAGTGAGCGGCTTGAATAAGGAACACTTCCTTTTCCAAAGGGGCTCGGTCGTTCCTCAGGCTTGCATGCGTTATTCATCATTCCTGAATGCGTTATTTGTTATATACCGTTCCTTCTGCGTTACTCCTTCGAAAAATAAGGGGCTTCGTTCCTTAGTTATCGTTCTTTGTGTCAGGCCGATGACTGTACATGCACATGAGGACGAGGAGAAATCTTCGCAGAACCCTGCGATGATGTCAAAGACACCGTCGCTGACGGCAGGCCCTCCCGAGGCTGGCTCCACAGCGCGCCCAGGGCGCAAGTCCTGGATCCCCCGCGGAGGATCTGCGAGAAGCTACACCACAGCGGAGATGTGCGTTTCGGACGTTTGCGGGTGGGCACTCTGCGAGCAGCGGAACGCGCTCGGTGACTGACTGACTGACTGAAGCCTTGCGTCCTGCAAACGCGTGGGCAAGATTGCACGTATGGCAACCAGACGTGAAAATAGAGAAAGGCGGCTGACTACAGACAGGGGCAGGTCACGGGAGGAGAAGAGGCAGGAAGGGGAAGGGGAAGGGGAAGGGGAACGGAAAGGGGGGCAGAAGGAAGGACTGCTAAATATACACGTGTGCCATCGCAGACACCCTTTGCGCTCGGTGACTACTCCAAATCCCTTTTTAATCGACCCCCCCTTAAAACCGCCCCCCCCTCCAAATGCGACCTACTGTTGTGGACCCCCCTCTTCGCTGGGGCGCCTTCACAAACCATACCCCCCGCGCTCCAATCCAACGAACACGCCCTGATAAACGGGACCCCCCCCCAATGGCAAACAATGGCAAAACAGCGCCTGAAAAAACCGGACCCGGGGGACGATTAATCAGAGTGAGGGGGCTGAACCGAACGGTCATTCACTGTCCCTGGGTGCGTGGCTGAAATGGCATTCCCCCGATCCGGCCCACGTGGACGCTACAACCGCAATCGGCGACCGCTCCCTCACTCTTACCCTTGCGGGGTGCTACGTAAGGGATTTGGACTACCGTTAAGTCGGGCCTGTCCCCCTACAGAAGGATCTTCGACGAACCATAAAAAAATACCCCCAACATAATCCAACAATAATCCAAACATAGTCTGGGGACTATTGTTTGAATATTTGTTGGGGGGTTCTTCTATTTTTCGTCGAAAATCCCCCTGTAAGGGGACAGGCCCGACCTAAGACTATCGAGGATGACTGGGCGATCCGGGAGCACGTGCCCCCCGGGGAGCCCACCCTGATGGTCCGCTACCAAAAATCTCCGGTAGCGCTCCGCAGAGATCGGTCGCTACCGAAATATACCGAAATGCAGCGCCCAATACCGGTATCAGAGCGCCCTGGAATCCGCCATTTCAACGCCCTCAAACGAAGATCCGGTCGCTACCGAAATTCGTTGAGCGGCTCCACCCTTCGGTAGTGTAACGTTGATATTAATCCACAGACGCTCCAACAAATAACCTCAACGTTTCCTGAAATTTATCCTCGGCGGTCCCAAAAATTATATCTTGAAAACCGATTTCGACGCACCCCGAATTTCAAATTCGGGGTGCGTCGAAGTCGCTACCGAAAATCTCCGGTACCAGACCGTCTGGCCACCCCCGTGCCAGGGGCGGCCCTCCGGGCGAGGCGCGGGCCTCCGCGGCCGCTCGGGGGGCGGGCCCGGGCACCCCTTTGAAGGGCGCCCTCGGCGAGGCGCCCTCGGCTGGAGAGCACCGCCGAGGCTCCTTGGCCCAGGGACACACACACAAATAACTGCACACAAATAATTGGCGGCGCGCACGAGGGGGTGGGGGGTGGGGGGGGGGGGCGTCTCAGAAGCAGGCTGCTTCTCAGAAGGCGCCGGCCCTACGTCTATAGATAGGGCCCGCGCCTTCTGAGAAGCAGGGGTGCTTCTAAGAAGCCCCCCCCCCTCCCCCCACCCCCCTCTGCGCGTGGCTGAAATAAGAAAGGATCCCCCCATGTTTTCCAGCAGCATTTTCTGGGTTTTCGTCTCCCCCGCTGCCCAGATCTTCCCATCTTTTCCTGGGAAGCGACAATTCATTGTGTCTGTGTGTTGTTCTCCCTCCTGATTACAGTCGGACTTGAACGGAGAGGACGCGCGAGAGGACACAAGACCCTTCCGAGGGCCACGCTGCCACAGAAATGCAGGAGGCATGGGTCGCAAGGCGCAGGGCACGAGGGTGCCCTCGATCTGGCAAGGTCGACCTACTAATCCGGGCCGCCTGCATGCTGCTCCCATCGTAGCGGTGGGGGCATTAGATAAGGAATCCAGGGTCTGGAGGCCGGTGGAACTCCAATCGTGGACCGGCCATGGATATCACCGCCGCCCTCATTGGATGAGGAATCCTCCAGGATCTGGCGCCTCCTGGGCACATTCCTTAACCAATGCCCCCACCGTACCACATCCCAGAAATGATTTCGAGCACCCGGAAAAGTGTCGGAAGAGTGTCAAAGGAGTGTCGAAACAGTGTCGGACGAGTGTCTCCCAGGGCCCGGCACGTGAAAACCATCGCGTTTCGGTACTCTGTTTGGTGCTCGAGATGATTTCCGGTGATCAAGGCTGCAGCAGATTGGAACGTCATAACCCGAGGCTGAAAAACCGTCGAGGCTCGAAGAAGACGCGCGGAAACCTCAAACCCATCAAACCCTCAAACCCTGAGCTCATCCCCTCCTGACGTTGCCCCTGAAGGTTGCATACGGCCAAGGTAGCTGCGCTGCATGAGCCTTGAACAAAAAACAGTAAAAGGGAAGGACCGAGCGAGGGCAACTCCGCTCAACGTCGGCCCCCAAACCCCTGCCGGGGTCGAAACGAACGAGCCGTTTCAGCCACCCTGAGATCCGACGCTCCAACAAAAAAGTAAGCTGGCGGTTCTTGGCCGTCTTCGGCCTCGGGGGGCCCTCGCTGGGCTTCGGGAGCGTCAGAAAGCGACTCAGGACGAAAAACTGACCCTAGAGAATAGAGGCCTCCTATATGGGGTCCGAGTAGATGGGGTTGGATGATCGCGCCGCATCGCCGATAGATCGGCGATGCATCGGCGATGCATCGGTAATGCACCGGCGATGCATCGACAACGTCGGCGATGCATCGGCGACGTCGGAGTGGGGAAAGTCGGGCTCCACATCGAGCCGCATCGGCGATGCATCGGCGATGCGGCGCGATCCTCCGACCCCATCTACTCCGACCCCATCTATGATGGGCATGTTTTCCACCACCACCACCACCATAAGTTGGAGGGGGGAAGGAGGACGAGGAGGAAGAGGAGGAGGAGGAGGAGGAGGAGGAGCAGGAGGAGGAGGCGGAGGAGACGGATGAGGAGGATGAGGAGGAGGAGGAAGAGGAGGAGGAGGAGGAGGAGGAGCAGCAGGAGGAGGAAGAGGAGGAGGACCTCCAGGACCCACGCATCCCAAAAGCATGGAGCAGCTGGCTGTCTGGGCACGCCCAGGCGTGGCGACGAGGGGGCCCCTGTTCTCTCCCCCGCCCTGCTGGCCGGAACCACTGGCGGCGAGACTTTCGAAGCCACTGGCAACCATTGGCTGGCGGCTCTGCTGGAACCATTGGCTCAGAAGCCCTCGCGCCCTCCGAGAAGTCAGTTCTGCCCTCCGGGGCAGGCTTCAGAATCAGAAGACCTCTCCGAAAGGTCTGGGGACTTGCGAGCCTTCTGAGAGGGCCTTCTCCTTCTCACCTCCCCCCCTCGCTTGCCGCTGCAACCAACCCAAAAATCCGATGTCGTGATTTTTTCGATACGGGGTCCACAGAAGTCTCGACCCACTCCCTGGGGCCGGTTTCTCCTCCTGCGTCGTTCCTTGACGGTCCCGGGGCCTGGCAAGGGCCCCTATGGAGGCCGAGCAGTGCGAAAAACCTCCGCCTGGATTTTTTCAGCACGTTGGACCTCTGGGTGTGACGGGCCACCTCGGCGCCCCCCAGCCCGCTGCAGCCCGAAGGGACGCCCGCCTGCCCTGACCTTCCAGAGAGCTATTTTTAAGCACTGGAGTCCAAAAACCTAGAAAGCTGGGCGAAACAGCCTAAAACCAATACGTAGAATAGCTCTGGGATAGGTTTTTAAGTCGGGTGCTATTTTTTTGCCCTCCTGGAAGGTCAGGGTGCGGCTCCCGAGCACGCGGCGCCTGGCCCACGGAGCAGCGCTGCGGCGGGGCCGGCTCCGCAGGCGCCCGCGCGGCGGCCGGCTGTCCGTCGGCCAGTGGGGTCGGCGTCCTGCCAGGGGCGCCAGTGGGTAAGAGCCGGGACCGCATACACGAGAGCTCGGCGCCGCGCAAGCCGACATATGCGCAGCAGAAACTATACAGTCGGGGCGTTGACCTAAGGAACCCTAAATAAGGAACGAGGCCCCCTTTTTCCCATAAGCTAACCTTCGATTTCCCATCGAAAACCTAAGGAAAGCCTGAGGCAAGCTGTGAAACACTTACGGAACGCGGAGCCCCTCCCAAACGAAAAAGGTTCCTTCTTCAGGGCCCCGACTGTGCAGGAGAGCTCGGCGTCGCGCAAGCCGACAGATGCGCAGCAGAAACTATCTGTTCCCCACCAGCGCCGGCCAGTCCAGACCTGGGCAGATCCACGCACCGCTGGCGGGCCCACCTGCGCACCACCAAAGAAGTGCATCGGCCAGGGTGTACAGACAGCGTTTCGGTCAAAACGGCTCTATACAGGGCACGGAAGCCCAAGGAATTCCGACAAGAAGAAACGCTCAGGCACACTCTACAACATGGAAAGGGGGGAAGAGAGAGAGAGAGAGAGAGAGAGAGACAAGCGAGATGCCTGGCGGTCGATTAGGCATCTCGCCCCTCTCTGCGCCGCAGAAACGCTGCGACATAGCACTGGCCATGGAAACTGGTTCTGCGATACGCTGTGGGCGAGCCGACCGGTGGCTCCGCCGGGGGGACTCATGTTCTCTGTTTCGTGTTGTTTCGTTCAACGGTAGCGGACGGGAACGGACACTCCACAGACCAAGCACCAGCAAACTCTACGAGGAAGGCGCTGAACGGTTGAACTTGCGGTATAAACATTCGGCAATCCGCGAGAATCTCTTGCGTCGGCGCTGCTGTGGCGCGCCGACCCCAACTTGCTCCGCACGCCGGTCCAGCGCTGAACTGACAATGCCCGCGCGATTATCCGAAAGGCTCTGCTTGCTTATGTAGCTGTCTGGTTTCCGAAAAGAGGGTGAAGAGGCGGGGAGACGGGGAAAGCATGCAAATTAAGAGACGCTTTGGAAGCGCGCGTAATGGCTGGGATGGGGAACGTGGGGAAACCCCTGGGGCAGAAAAAGAGGGTGGCGACGATGGCGGGAAGCAGTCGTGCAATCAATGGACAGATCTGTCAGGTGCCTCCCCCGCAGCTGCAATGGACTGGGTGCCGCTCTCGGGGACATCCAGGGACAGACATGGAGCATCACGTCGGCCGGCGCCCTCTGATGAAGGGGCCCTGGGACACACACACACACACACACACACAAACACACACAAATAAATACACAGACGTAACAGGATCCCCATTATGTTCGCACATTTTCTGGGTTTCCGTATTCCCCCCCCACCACTTTTCATATGTTTCCAGACTTTCTGGGGAGTCGACGATTAATTGTGTCTGTGTACTTTCCCCCTCCTGAATACATGGAGCATCACGTCGGCGGGCACCCTCTGCTTGCATCGCGCTGCAGGGGGAAAACGATGCCCGACGGACAAACGCCTGCACAGGAGTTGGTAGTAAGCCACTCTCGTAAGCACGCCCTCCCTTGGCTCCCACAAATCCGAAATGATTCACCGGGCAGCCACGCAGACCAGCTAGATTTCACGCGGTAAGCCGACCGCCGCTCGGCCAGCCGCTGTCGCAGCTCGGCGACCTTCAGCTCGCGGGCCTCGACCTTCTCGGCCGCGGTCTCCTCGTCCAGCGTGGCTCCCGACGGCAGCTCCTCCTGGGGCACCGGCGTGAGCCACCGGGCCGTCCGCCAGTTGCCGTCGCGCACCGCCATCGTCCTCGCCTTGAGCTCCTGCATCAGCAAGTCAGCGGCCTCGACGACCTCGCCGCGCAGGATGCCGTCGAGCGCCTGGCCCAGCGCACGCAGGACCCGCACCTCGTCCGTCCCGAGCGTCCGCAGCGGGTGGGCGACGAAGAACGCAGTGTTGAGGTACTGCGTGACGCACGGAGCGAGGGGGTCACCTTCGGAGCCCGAGAGCAGCTGGGTGAACTGCCCGCGCAGGTGGCTCAACCCGTTCTCGAGCAGCGCACCTGGCCGCTGCCGCGCGATCTGGCGGAACAGGTCGCGCTCGATGCCAACGCCGTGGAATCGCTCGAGGTTGCCACCGCGCTCCGTCTCGCTCTCTGGGCCGTCGTCGCCATCCTCGCCGTCGCGTCCCAGGAGTGCCGAGGCCAGCGCAGTCGCCAGCCTGCTCCGCGAGCTTGAAGCGGCTGCGCGGGCTGGCGGCGCGGCTGCAGCTCGCCCGGCCACCGCTTGGGCCAGCCGCTCGCCCACGCCGGCCGCAGGCCGAGCAGCGTTCTTGGGCACCCCCTGCTTCGGCACGTCCCTCGCGACCTTGCCCCCCAGCTTCGCAAGGCGTTGGTCCAGCTCTGGGTCCCCCGCTATCTCCGCGAGCCCGGCCAGCTCGTCGTCTGGGGGGTTCGTGCCGGCAAGCTCAGCCGGGGTCGCTGTGCCGCCATCGCCTCGCACCCGCTTCCGAGGTGGCTCGGCGATGGGCCCGTCGTGCCCCAGTCCGTCTCCGTCGAAGAGGGCATCCTCGGGCCCAGCTGCGCCCGCTGGCTGGCCGCCCTCGGCGGGCGCAGGAGCCATCGCGAGGGCCCCCGGGGCTGCAGGCGGGCAGATCAGCTTCGCCTGCTCGCGCTCCACGCCCCGGCCGTCGAGGAGCTGCCACACGTCGAGGTGCTCGACCTCCGCGCCCAAGGGAGCGACCGCCCCGCAGCGGCTGGCCGCGCACACGCAGAGGTGGAAGACGTGGAAGACCGTCGACGTCGTCGTTGCCCGAGCACCCTTCTGGCCAGCAGCACTCGCGTACCAAGCGAACCATGGATAGCTGGCCCCGACGTGGCGTGCCTTGAAGAACCTGCCGAAGGCGTCCGGGAGGTATGGCACTTCCACCTGCAGCATCTCGACTCCCTGGGGGGCACCGCTGTCGTCGCGCACGCGTGCGAGCACATGCGCGCCCGCAGGGAGCGGCAGCCCCGGCACTAGCTCTCCGTTGAGCCCCGCGTCCAGCCACGCCCCGCGCGGGAAGGGCCACCCGCTCGGAGCCCGCACGAACCCCTCCATCCTGCAGGCAGCCGGGCGTGGTCCCGGCGATTGCGCCGGCGCGGGCGCACCGGACACGGCACGATCTAGTAGACAGAGTGGCTCGGCAGGGGCCTCGAGACGGGCAGCCCCGCCCCGGTATCTACCCTGCCTACTCCAGGCCAACACAGCTACGGACGATGGACGCTGAGCTTCCATCAACGGCGTCGCGCACGCTTAGGTGGACTCCGCATAGGCCCCCTTGGACGCATACTACATACATACGAGCGTATATGCATTTAAACTCGAGGACCTCTGAAGGCATCCCTGGGGTTGCCTCGCGAGCCCATTTGGGGGAATCACACGGAACACCGTCCTACCAAAACGAAGGAACCCCTTCCTCTCCTCCTCCTCCTCCTCCTCCTCCTCCTCCTCCTCCTCCTCCTCCTCCTCCTCCTCCTCACCCCTCACCCCTCACCCTCTTCCTCCTCCTCCTCCTCCTGCTCCTCCTCCCTCCTCCTCCTCCTCCTCCTCCTCCCCTGCTCCCCCTGATCCTTCTTCTCCCCTCCACTCCTCCTCCTCCTCCTCCGCTCCTCCTCCTCCTCCTCCTCCCTCCGCCCTCCGCCCTCCCTCTCTCCCCCTCCTCCTCCTGCCTCCTCCCCCTCCTCCCTCCTCCCTTCTCCCACCTCCCTCATCTCCCTCCTCTCCCTCTCCCTCCTGTCCCCTCCCTCCTCCTTCCTCCGTCCTCCCTTGTCCGTCTCCCCTCCTCCTACTTCTCCCCCTCCTCCTCCCTCGAGGCTCCTCTAGGAGAGAGGACGCGGGGGTGGACGAGGAGGAAAAGATGAAGGCAGGAGGAATGATGATGCAGGACCAGGAGGCCACGGTGAGGACGTGCGAGAATACATGAAAGCGAACTGTGGAAGCCAGAGCCCGCAGCAAAGGGCAGATGGAATGCGCAGGGGGCCACAGCGCAGGCCAGCGCGAACCACAACCCCAAGATTGCGAACCACAACCTCACGAATGGAGCTTAGGTGCAATATTCGGGGGGAACGAAACGGGGAGATAGCAAGGGGTAGGGTAGAGAATCAGCTCACTCAGCTGATTTTCCCGGCGCCTCCCGGAGCCGGGAGGCGCCCATGTAACGAGGAATGGGCCTGGCGGCGGGGCCGAAACCAGCTGCATGAAGCAAATTTCGTGACCCCCCCTGTCCATTTCCCCCCCCTTTCGTTCGGCCCGAAACATCCAGACATCTTCCGCTGTGGGATTTCAGCCCCCGTCCCCCGAGGCCCCCGGCCAGGCTACGCTTGCGTCCTGGATCCGTTTCTGGTGGTCCCGAAGCTCGAACGCGGCCCCCAGCTGGCTGGCCGAAGAGAAGGAGAACCGCCCCCCCCTAGAGGCCTCCTAGATGGGGTCCGAGCACATGGGCTCGGAGAATCTCGCCGCATCGCCACTGCATCGCCGATGCATCGGCGACATCGGCGTGGAGAATTTGGGGCTTCAAATCGAGCCGCAGCGCCGATGCATCGGCGATGCGGCGCGATCCTCCGACCCCGTCTACCCTTGGAACGGGCATGTCCCCCTTTGGACGAAAAATAAAAAATAAAAAATATACAAATAATCCAGAGATGCTCAAACATAGCCGAACAATAACAAAAAATCCCCGGATTACTTTTGATTACGTTTGGATCTTCCTCCTCTGTAGAGGGACATGCCCGACTTAATTACGTCTACCCTGGCCCCGACTGGGAGGCCTAGAGCCCTCCCCTCGGCGGCGACGATGGGGGCGAATAGCCCAGGGGCGGGCATTACACGCAGTCGCCCGGGAGCCTTTTCGAAGACATAGATCATCGGCGCACCTGAATACATGTATTGCTCTCCCGGGAACCCTGGGCATTGAACGCTCGAAATGAATACGACAAGAATGGGTACAGTGCCCAACAACAAATGTTGCCCCAAACCAACAGCGGCCGCTGTTGGGCAGGCGGCCTCCTGTCTCGAATGGACACAGGCCGCGGCGGCGTGGACAGCGAGTCCTGTTCAAAAGGAACAGGCACTGCTGTTGGGCATTGTACCCATTCTTTCCGTGCCCATTTCGGGCGTCCGGATGGGCAACGTGAGACAACGGCCATGATATCACGGTGGCCAAATCGGCTCAAAATCGGTCCCCGGACCCCCAGGAGGCACCGATTTTTCACGCTGCGTCCAGCCATGGCGACGAGGAGGCCCCTCGGAGGCAAAAAAAGCAAAAACGTCACCCTTGTCCCACCCTGCCCTCCTCTGATGAATACATGTATTGCTCTGCCGGGAACCCTGGGCTATTCGCCCCCATCGTCGCCTCTGATTCCCGGCGGCACCCCCCGCCCGGGCGGCCTCCGGGCGGGCGCGCTCCCGGCGGCGCCGCGGCCTGCGGCCTCGGCCTCGGCCTCGTGCTGCGCCGGCGGCTGCGCCGTCGGCTGGCGGCCGCGCGTCCGCCCGCAGCCGCGCGCTCGCCCCCCCCCCCCCCCCAGGAGCTAGAGGGCGGGTTTCCCAACAGTGCACGCTGTTCACTTCTGATCGTGCTCAGTTCTAACTGTGCTCGTTTCTGACTGTTCCTGGCCCCCGCCCTAGTGGCCAGGAGGAGGCCCAGGATAATTACAACAATTAGAGATGGAAGGATCTTGGCCCCCCCCAAAAAATCAAAGACCTCTCGAAAACATAGAAGTGAACCATGTGGAGGGGCTCGACCGCAAGAAACCCTCCACAGGAAACCCAAGACTGAGACCCCAGGACGTCCACGGATCTCTGATGCGGGGACGTCGCGCTCGCCATCGCGAGGCCATCGAGGCCTAAGAAACCCCAGGCATCCTGGAGGCAAGCAGGGGGTGTTTCTTGGCATGGGTCTCCACTTTCCGCTCCAGCAACTTCACTTGCATGGCATTTGCCCCCCCCCCCCCCCCGCCCTCACCGCCGCCCTATCAAGCAATGCTTGGCCAGAAAGGTGTGCAAACGAGTCCCTGCTTGCGTGAAGTATTCGGGTCTCGCGACCCCCTCGCCCCTCCGTGCAGATAGTGTTGCCCGAATCTGCAGGAGAACGGCCTCCCGCCGAATCAGGCGGCACGCTGGCCGTGAACCTGTGGGCGGGCCTTCCCCGAGGGTGCATATTGGACGGTCGACGCCGGAGCCCCACAGTGCGCGCAGAGGTGGGTGGGGGGGAGGAACGGGGCGCACGAGAGAGAGGGGGGGGGAAGCCGGGGCAGGACCCCCTCCAGGCCGAGGCGGGAGGCGGAGGGAGGGGGGAGGCGGGAGGGCGGGGGCAGAAAAAGCGGTGCTCGCGCCGATGCTGCACGCTCCGCGCGGGAGGCGACCGACGCGCGAGCCCAGCGGTCGGGCAGACGTGAACGGAGCTGGGGGCAGGCGGCGACGGCGACGAGGGCGACGACGAGGGCGACGACGACGGCGACGACGAAGGCGACGACGACGACGTGTACACAGACGGCGGCGACGGCGGCGGCGGCGACGACGACGACGACGCGAGATGCGCCAGACTGCCCGTCAAAAATGTGCATGAAATGCCGCTTCGCCCGCAAGTGACGGGCGAACAAAGCTCCTCAAGGACCGCAGCGCCCCTGGTGGGGGGGGCGGCGGCGGTGCGAGCGGGGTGCGGCAGCAGCGAGGGCATACGGACCACCGCAGATCTGCGGCAGAACAGGTGACAGACGTCTTGGAACCGCTGCTGCAAGTAACGAACTGCGGACGCACATGTGCACGCACACAGCCCGGCGCTGTGGACGACCATCACAGAAACTTTGACAGTCTCTGGGGCGCGAGGAATCCCACCAGCCCTTTAGGGCGTGAGTGGTTTGGTGCATTTCCTCTTCCAACCCCCCTTCGTCCCCTTCAGGAACGGGTTTACCCCTCCGCCCACCCCCTCCTCCTGGACCAGAACGGGGGCGGCGACCCGTTGGAGCGTCCAAGATGGCATCGGCGAGAAGGCCACAATCATTGATTGTACGACGGTTTGGGTGACATGTTGGCCTCCTGTGGGGGCTAATGTAGTGTCCCCTTCTTTGATCAATCGCCTCCAACATGGCTCTAAGATGGCCCCCAAGGCTTCTAAGAGTGTCCCAAGACGGCCCCAAGAGGGCCCCAAGAGGCGCCGAGGAGGACCCAAAGTGCCCGAGGTCCCCAAGAGGCTCCCAAGAGACCCCCAAGGGGCCCCAAGAGGGTCTCCCGAGGCACCCAAGAGGCTCAACGAGACCCCTGGGACCGCCTTGAGAGACATCCGAAGAGACTTCGCGAGACATCCAAGAAGCCTCTAGCTTTTCTGATCGCTCTCCTCCTCCTCCCAAGCCCTTTACTGCACTGCGTGATCCTCCACATCCCTGATCGAAACTAACTCGCGAGGGCCTCGCTTATGGGTGGGCGGGGTGGGGTTACGCGTGGTGTCTGAAATAAACTGTGCGTGCGCGCGTTCAGACACGGACACGATTGCACTCACACACACATTCACATAACAAACAACTCACACGCAATAGTGAGCGTGTTCATATTCGGCGTTTCGACATTAAGCGGAAGGGGGGGGGAAGGTAAGCGGAAGGGGGGGCCTGGCTCCGGACCTCTGCTTGAGGCGACTGCTTGCAACAGTGCGTCCTACTTCTGGGGGAGACCCCACCTCATCGTAACAGGCGCCCAAAACAGCCAAGAACTACCCCATGGGGATGGGGGAAGAGGGGAGTGTGAGGGCCCGCACCGATCGGCAAAATAACAAATAAAACAACGATCACGTACTCTTCATGGTCGTCAATTGTGTTCCGCTGTCTGCGACTTGGCACGCACACCCGTCGTGACATGATTTGCACATGAAGAAGGGCGTGTCAGCTCCTCTCCCTCGCTCCCACTTGTTTTTGTTTTCTCTCTCTCTCTCTCTCTATCTCTCTCGCTACTGGGCACCCTTTTTTTTCTCTCTCTCTCTCTCTCTCCCTCTCTTTCTCCCTTTTTCTCTCTCTCTCTCTCTCTCTCTCTCTCTCTCTCTCCCTGGCACTCCATCTCTCTCTCTCTCCCTCTTTCTGTTCCAGACCTTCCTTCCAGGCAACGGGAGCCCTCAGACAGACTCCGCGCAGAAGAACGGCTCTGGGACAAGTCGAGAAAGCCGGCTCCTGCAACACGTCACCGATGTTCCGCGAGATGGCCAAGCTCAACTGCGGAGGCTCTCGGGATGAAAGAAATTAGAGAAGAGCGCTCTCGAAGTGGAGGGAAGAGAAAGAGAGAGAGAGAGAGAGAGAGAAAAGAGGGGGGGAAGGGGTCAGACGCTCTTGCCCCCCAGAGGTAGGAGGGAGAAGCAGGAGAGGAGGATAGAGTAAGAGCTAGTAGCAGGAGGAGGCGGAGAACTCGAAGAGACCTCGACGACGAGCTTCGAGATGCCGGCGCTGGCGCCATCAAGCAGACTCCTGCAGGCCAAAGTCGTGGCGCGGCAAACACAGCGGCATTGGCAGATCTCTGCCCATCCTGCCCTCCACTCATCCTCCTCCTGCTCTCTCTCTCTCTCTCCTTCTGTCTCGTCCTCCCCCTCCCCATCCTCCTCCTCCTCCTCATACCACCACCCTTCGCCTCTCGCCACCGTGCTGATCTCCCCTCATCCCTGGAGCACGGGGGAGTGCGCGACAAAGACGGCAAGGAACACGGAAGGGAGGGACCAGAGAGTCTCGGAGGGGAAGCACGAGGGCGCTCGTCTACCTGCGCAAAACCTCCCTGGCCGTCTCAACCGCCACAGCCGGCAAGGAAACGGTCGGGGGCGTGCCCCCGATGTCGACTCCCAGTTCCGTAGCGACGCGTCGGAAATTCGAGCACTTGAAATCCCACCAGCCCTTTGGGCGTGAGTGGTTTAGCGAGCTTTCTCTGTCCTCAACCCCCCAACCCCCCTTCTTCCCCTTCGGGGAGGGGTTTACCCCTCCCCCTACCCCCTCCCCCTGGACCTGGAGAGGGGGCGCCGCGGGTGGTTGGAGGGGTCATTTTCGACTCCTGGGAGGGCAAAAAAACGACGACCCTCACGAGGATTCTGGCCCCGAGGGGGGGGAGGGAGTTTGGCGCCTGAACTCGTCGTTGAAGTAAAAAACATTGATTGTACTACGGTTTTGGCCCCATTTTGGCCTTCTGAGGGGGCCGCGTTCCTCTTCCTTCCTAGCAAAATCATTGATGTTACGAAGGTTTTGGGCTGATTTTGTCCTTCTCAGGGGACTAGCGCTTCTGAGGAGGTCGCAAGAGACCCCAAGATAGCCCCAAGAGGCCCCCAGGAGGCTCCCAAGAGGCCTCCAGGAGGCCCCCAAAGAGGCCCCCCAGAGGCCCCTAGAGGTCCCCTCGAGGCTCCCAAGAGGCCCCCAAGAGGCCCCAAGAGGCTCCAAGAGGCCCCCAAAACGCCCCCAAGAGGCTCCCAAGAGGCCCCCCAGACGCCCCAAGAGCTCTAAGAGGCCCCCAACAGGCCCAACGAGGAGCCCGAACGACTCACACCAGGACGACAGACCCCAACGACTCACACCACGAGGAGCCCGAACGAGTCACACCACAAGGAAGGGCCCGAACGCCTCACACCAAGACGAGGCGCCCGAACGACTCACACCACGAGGAGCCCGAACGACTCACACCACGACTCTTGCATACCTGCAAGACCTCTCAGCACACTGTACTCCTGCACGACTACGAAGAACGTTCTACCTAAATATACTGTGTCCCGTTTTTCCATAAGGCAAAACGAACCACTTCAGCCCACACGTTGCGTAACGCTCCACGCGTCACCTGCACGCGAGCGCGGCAAACGACACTTGGAACTTCGACTCTCAGACCTCGACATGTGCCTACTCAACATCCGCAGGAAAAATTGCGCACCACTCTCACTCTCTTGGGAAGAGGCAGAGGACAACGTTGAACTTCTGCGCATGTCTTTCTGTGCTTTCTTGATGTGCGTCGGACCGCCTTTGATTTATGCGTGCTTCTGTATTGAATACATGCGTGTATAGGTGTGGAGGGGAATCCATGGTCTGATGTCGCAATGACGATGGATCGTGCCGAGAAAATCTCGAAAGTGGCGCGTCTCTGAGACATCTCGCGATGACCGCCGTGCCTGCATGTCACCGAGCGCTAACCGCCGCGACGACCTGCTGACACGAACGCGGGGCGAATTGAGAAGAATAATATGACTCGCATCAGATGCAAAAATGGAGATCTCGTAGCGGTGCTGGGCTACGTGCGGAATTTGCGCACACCAGCCACCTCGTGCCAAAAAACACAGTAGGCGCGTGCGTTCGGGCCGCAAGCCAAGTCACCATTGACGTGGTGGTCGTGGTCGTCGTCGTCGGCGCCGTCGATGTCCTTTCGTCATCGTCGTCATCGTCATCGCCATCACATTCGAAGCCATGGGAAAGAAAGTGCGGCGCGCCGACCGCACTGTGGAAACTCAACATGAAGCGAGAGTGCCGGCAACCAATATTCTGCGCGCTCGCTTCCAGGAGCCCCCGTGGCAAGCAAAAGTACAACAAAGTACAGGCGCTTCCCCATGCCAACCGCAAAGATGATGCTAGTAGGCGGAGACTATTACGGGTAGGCGGAGCGAAGCTCACAGCCACACTCCAATACTAGAAGCCAGAGTGGCAACGACAACAACGCTGGTCGGGAAAGATCGCTGGTTTCGACGACGGCCGCCCTCTGTCTTGCCTCCCAACTCCTTCCCTCCCGCCTCCTCTTCCGACTCCTCCTGCTTCGGACCATAGAATACACGTACAGGGAAACAGACACATGCTTGCACCAGACAACTGTCGGCATGCTTCGCTGGGGTTCCTCGTCGGCGATGGCACTACCACTACTGCGTCTACATTTACTACAACGACTACTACGACTACTACGACGACTCCTACTATTACTACTCCCACTACTACTTCTACTGCTACTACGAGGTCTACTACAACTACTGCTGCTACTACTCATCGTGCTACTGCTGCTCTGCCTCCTAATCCTACTACTACTACTGCGAGCACTACTCCTTCTACCACGACACCTACATCTACTGCCACTGAAACTTGTCGTGTCGCTACTACTGCTACTACTGCTACTACTACTACTACTACTACTACTACTACTACTACTACTACTACTACTACTACTACTACTACTACTACTACTACTACTACTACTACTACTACTACTACTACTACTACTACTACTACTACTACTACTACTACTACTACTACTACTACTACTACTACTACTACTACTACTACTACTACTACTACTACTACTACTACCACTACACGGAAGCGAGAGGAAGGAGGAACAGGGGAGCTATGAGGAGCCCAGCGGACACACGCCTGACACACTCCACTGCCGGCATGCTTCACAAGAGGTGCTGCTGTGAGATGGGCTGGTGGGGATACGCGAAGCGTAAACAATTACGCCGCCCCCCCGGCGGGTGACCGACTGGAGTTCCCAGCGCACGCTCTCTTTGTGTGCTTCTGCGCAGCCAACGGTCTCCTCATCTGACGAGCGACTGATCTGGCCCCGGACTTTCGCGTCCCTGTTGTGGCCCAACCCTGCCACGTCTCGCGCACGCAGACCTGCCAGAAGTCCGCCAACCCCGCCCCTTAAATCCCGTGGAGTTCGTCCTAACCACCGAGCTGCGAGGGGTCCCTTTAATATCGCCTGCTCGGCCTCATAAGCCCTGGCACGATCCGCAGCAAGGGACGGGGTTGGAGGACACAGGGGGTAAGGAGCCAAGCTAGGTGCGCTCGCGTCATATCTGACGCCCTACCCCTCCCTCCCATCCCTTACCATGGCGCAGATCTCCTCCCTAATCGCACAATCGGATGTCGCAGCGTGGCCTAGCATTACATGGCATAGCATGGTGTTGAAGATTAACGCGTAGCATGACATAGCATGGCGTGGCGGCACCCCCAAATGAGGGAGGGGGCTCTTGCGGCCCAACAAATCAAAGAGCCGACACCGAATGTGTAATCACTTCCGATGGTTTCTTCGGGAGGTCATTTTTCCGATTTTGGGGCCTATTTGGAAGGACCGAAAACCATGCCGTGGCATGGCACTGGAAATAATGACACCAACGCTGCAGCGGGAGCATGGTTCGGAACGAACCGAAGCGCGGAAATGAGGCCAGCGCTGCAGCTGGAGCACGATTCGGAACGAGCTGTAGCCCGAAAATGAGTCCAGCGCTTCAGCGAGAGCAGCATTTTGAAAAAAACAAGCGCGGAAGCGCGGAAATGAGGACGCGTAGCCTGACGTAGCATGGCGTGGCGACGCCCCAAAGTGGGGGGGGGCTTCTGCGGCGCAAAAAAAAACGACACCGAATGTGTAATCACTGCCGATGTTTTTTTCGGGGAGGCATGTTCTAAATTTTGGGACCTATTTGGAAGGATCGAATACCATGCCGTGGCATGGCGCTGAAGTAATGACGCCAACGCTGCAGCGGGAGCACGATTCGGAACGAACCGAAGCGTGGAAATGAGGCCAGCGCTGCAGCGGCAACACGATTCGGAACGAGCGGTAGCCCGAAAATGAAGCCAGCGCCTCAGCGAGAGCAGCATTTCTAAGAAAACAAGCGAGAACCCGTTTCCTCGGGAACCCTGTGTAGAAGACCGGTGCGCGGAGGAGGGCCAATTCCCGGACGCCACCAGGGGAGAGGGGAGAATAGTATTCATATTGTTTCATTATGGAAGCTGACCGTCGGAAGGGGTGGCCGGGAGAGAGGGGCGAGGGGGTTTGCACAGGCCGCTCGGGAAAAGCAGATACAAGCATGACACAGAATTTCGATGAAAGCAGGATAGGCTTGGGCCTGCCCCCGAAAGAGGAATGCAATATGAAGGGCGTTCGATCATTAAAAGAGAAAGGCGCTTGGAATCGATAAGCATGAAGAGACCAAACCGAACCGAGAAGCGATGACCGGGACTGGACCGGACCGAGCCGGACCAAAACAAGACAAATAAACAAAAGAACTGGACCGAACCGGATTCATTCAAAACCGAACCGGGGGGAACCGAACAGAACCAGAACTGGAGCCGAACCGGAACCGGGCAGCCCCCGAACCGAGCCGACAGGATCCGAACCGGACGCCCCAGCCAAGCCCGAACAGGACCGCAAGACGGCGATCCCATGCACCCCGACCACCACGGAGGAAAACGACGAGGCCTGAGGCAGCCCACTGCCAGAGCTTGAGCCCATATGTGCGAGCGGTGACGATGATAACCAGCCTCGAACGTATCCCTATCCCTAAGATGGGCGAGCAAAAAGCGAGGACAATCTTAGGGATAGGCCCTCAGAAACTCAGGGAATCCTTAAGATCGGCATCGAGGTGAGGTGATGTCAAACATAGGGGTAGGGATATGTTTCAAACTGGTAAGATGATGACCGTGGTGAAGATGAGGACGTCGGGGCAGGTCGGGGCGGGTCGGGGCAGGTCGGGGCGGGTCGGGGCGGGTCGGGGCGGGCCTGGGACGGTCGGGGGCAAGTCGGGGCGGGTCGTCCGCGGCGGGCCGCGGGAGGGCGGGCCCCTGTGGCGGCGCCCTTGCGCGAGGGCAGCGGGCCGCTGAAGTGGTACCTGGGTTCCCGCGGGCCCCCCCCCCTTGGTGGCGACCCCCCCGTGGCGACCCCCCCGTGGCGAGCCCCCCCGTCGCGAGCCCCCCCGTCGAAAGCCCCCCCGCCGCAACCCTCCCCGTCGCCACCCCCCTGTCGCGACCCTCCTCGTCGCGACCCCCCCTGTCGCGACCCCCCCCTGTCGCGACCTCCCCCGTCGCGCCCCCCTCGTCGCGACCCCCTCCCGTCGCGACACCTCCCGCGAGCCCCCCCCCCGTCGCGTGCCCCCCCGTGACGAGCCCCCCCGTCGCGACCCCCCCCGTCGCCACCCTCCGCATCGCGAGCCCTCGCCGTCGCGACCACCTGTCGCGATGCCCCTGTCGCGACCCCCCCATCGCGACCCTCTCCGTCGCGACCCACCCCTGACGCGACCCTCCCCGTCGCGACCCTCCCCGTCGCGAACCTCCTCTTCGGTCGCCCTCCCTGTCGCGACCCCCACTCGTCGCCCCCCCCCCCCCCGCGTCGCGACCCCCCGGTCGCGACTCCCCCCGTCGTGGGCCCTGGGGGCCACCTCGTGGACCCCCCCCGTCGTCGTCGGCGGCGGCGGCTCTCTCAGGAGAGGGAGGTGGGGGCAACAGTTTCGAGGTGGACCCAGCCGCGGCCAGGCAAGTCCAAAGCGTCAACAGGCGGCCCCCGAACCCCCTGGGGCCGCACCTCGCTCGCGGGGCCGCGGCCCTGCTCCTCGTTCCTTCCTCCCTGCTTCTCCCCCCTCCCATTCCCCTTCTTCTTCTTCCTCCTCCTCCTCCTCCTCCTCCTCCTCGCCTTCCTTTTTGTTCAAACTGGGCCGTCGCTTACGCAAACGGGGCGCCCAACATCGCTAATCGCACCGAACAAAACAGGTCGGACCGAATCGAACCAAACCGTCAATCGAATCGAACCGAACCGGTGTGACCGAACCGCGCTCAAACAGGAACCGAACCGCATCGGAACCAGACCCAAACCGAACCGTCCGAAACCGAACTGGTGTCAAACCGAACCGGCCAAGCAAAACCGAACCGGCTGCAGAAGAGGATCGAACCGAACCGAACCGAGCCCTTCATGTAGAAGGATTTGGGATTCCGAACCCGCGAACCAAACAAATTTCCAACGAATTGCCCCGAGTCGGTCATTGATGTCCGAAGTCTAGACACTCATGGCGCCTCTTGGGAGGGCGCCTCCATTGCCTGGGAGTCGGCCACACCTCACCAGAGTCCAGTCCAGGCCACCGCTTCTACACGCAAGCAGGAGAGGCCCCGACGCGCGAGCGTCGCAAAGAGAAGCGCCAGAGCCACGCAGCTCGCCTCCCGCGGGCTCGTGTAGCTCATCGCATTGATCAGCTCCGAGAGCATCGCGGTCTGCGAACCCTTGTCGTTCACCATCTGCCCAGGCGTGATGATTGTGCTCAAAAAGCATCACCGAAAAAAACCATCCCGATCGATGGGACGAATGAGCTGCCGTGGGCACGTAACCTGGCCGATGTCCAGGGGTCTGAAAAGAAACGTAAGCGGGAAACCCACCGGCTGGAAAGCTTCTATAATGCTACTCACGCCAAGGCAATCAGGTCGGAGAGTGGGCTAGAGGAGGCGGAGGACGATAAAGAGGAGATAGAGGAGGGGAGGGGAGGGATGAGGGACAGAGGAATGAAGATGCGGCGTGCGGGCGTTGAAGAACAGGGACGAGCTCCAGAGGGGACGAGGAGGGAACACGGAGGGAGAAGGAAGGATGGACAGGAGCAACGAGGAGGAATGCGGAACGAGGCAAGGAAAGGCAAAATGACTGAGAGGCGGAAGAGTAGAGGGCAGAAACTCCACCCCGATAGTAACCTCCCCGACGCGCGAAGCGAAGCCGTTGAGTACACGCGCCCAAATGAAGAATCATAGCGAGGCTTTATTTTCTACATCGAGATGTTCCGATCGGGCTGGGTGGGTCGAGTGTCTGAAAGTGCGCCTCGGGAGCGCCCCTCGTGCGGGCACCCCCGTTCCTCCCGCTCCGCTGAAACGGCAACGACACGGAGGGGAACGACACAAAGGGGGGGACGCATCGACCTAGCATCGGCGAGACCTCGCCGATAGATCGGCGATAGGACCCCAATCGTGAATCCGCGCGTTGCTGGTCAGGCTGGAGCTATCGGGCCTCTATCGGCGATCGATGGGCGATCGGGGCTCGATGCGCCCCGCCCTAAGCTTATCCTATCCCCCCCTTGTCGTTGCCCCTGAGCCGCCATTTCGGGCCCCAATCTTCGTCGCACACAAGCACGACATCGTTTCCCCTCGACCATATCCTGATGCCGTGCAGGGCCGGTGCCTCCGCTCTGAACGCCGCCCAACCGTGCAAATGCCCGCCTCGAGCACCAGAGCAACTGAAACAACACGTCACAGGGGCGGGCGAATGTCACCGCAGAAACCCCCACATTGGAAGCCACAAGTGCATACTGTGCACTCTCTCCGTCGTGGCGTGGCAGGAGCGATCCGCTCGCGCGAGCAGCAACACCGGGCTACGGAGTCGCCAGTTGGCCCGCATGCAAGGGGCGAAGACAGAGAGGAGAAGGGCGGCCACAGAGACAGGACAAGAGCGCAGGGGGCACTCTCCTTGCCATCGCTCGGACGTCCATTCCTCGTGTATTTTTCAATTTCGTGCGTGCTTTTTTCGCTAAGTCATCCAGGATGCTCCTCCATGGTCCTCGCCGAAGAAAAAATACACACGTCCGAGCGATGCCAAGCTCTCACGCGGCGGGGCCGCAGGGAACGCGCGAGGGCGGCCAGGCGGAAGGGCTGCCCCATCGCAGCGGAGCGGGTCGGCGTCGCGACGCACCCCAGGGGGCGGGGCCAGCAGTCACAGTGCGAGCGATGCCCAGAGAGTGGGAGGGCAGGAGCAGCAGGCGGTGGACAGACCTCCCTTTAGTGGACCTCCCCTTAGTGAAAACGGCCCTAAACCGACGGACCTGGACCCGCAGAAATGACGGCCGCGACGCCCTCTCGCGAACCGAAAACGGCCAATTCCTGAATCGACGTGTCAGGGTAGGAGGTCTGTCCGCCCCCGAGAACAGCAGGCGGACCCGGCATGCCGGGGAACCAGGGCGAGGGGGGGGGGCAGCGGCACGGGCGCACGGCAGCGGGCCGGGGGCGCGATGCGTCCAGCGCTGCGGCGGCTGCGAGGGCGGACCCCTGGGCGGAGTACCGCGGGCGGAGAAGCGGCGCAGCGCACGAGTGCATACACCTGTGACGCACAAGGGAAAATACCAGGAGTGTTGCGGGCCTGGGGCGCGGGGAACGGGGAGGGTGGAGGATGGACGATGGAGAGTGGAAGAGGGGGCAAAGAGAAAGACGGACAAGAACGTGTCCCGAATGACAACCCTCCAGAGGGCATGTGCGGAAGAGATGGGACAAGGCGAATCTAAAAACGGTGCGATCGTCCCTCTCAGGTTTATCCCCACGAGGTTATATCAATCGGTGCGAGGGTTGTACCCCACGCGAGTCGACAAGTCACTGCGCTCAGCTGTTCCTTGTTACTCTGTGCCTGCTGCACGTATGACGTACGTACGGCCGCTGACTAAAATCACTCCCCGTCTGTTGCGCGATTGCTAGGCAGTAGAGAAGAGAGGAGCTCGCCTGAATGATGTCGGGAACTTTTGCTTACCGTGTCACGGATATGCCACTCGCTCCGCGGGCCTGGAAGCTGGGAAAGGCTCGGGACGTTGACGCTTATGAGTTGGGAAGTGGTTAGCTTGTCGCGGTGAACCGTGGTGATCCACAACCAGCGGAACGACAAGTCAAACAAACGTTCCTGACCATCTTCCAGATTGCGACTCAACTTCCCGAGTGCTAACCGTATCCAGTCAGGCACACCCATCAGAACGCCGCGGATATCCTCAACGGTCTCTGGTCCGTGGTGCGCGCCAGACGTGGCGGAGGAGCTGTCGCAGCCATAATCGCAAACCCAACCGTGGAAAAGGCCCATGAAACGCTTTCCTGTTTCCGTCACTCAAATACCTGGCGAGAACCAAAGGTCACGAAAGTTCTCTACGTGCGCGCTCGCTCAGCCTGCACTGGCTTCGCGTGAAAAGGGCGATCGCGCCGACGCTGGTACTGACAGCGGCGACGGCACCAAGGGAGGACACGGCAACACCAGCGATGCCGACGGCGCAAGCGGTGATGATGGGGAACAATGCCATCGCCACCACCGTTCGCAATAGCCTCCGTGTTCAACAACAGGAGTGGGTCTGCGACGATGGCGGCCATGCGTTGTCTGCCGCGCTAAAACAAAAAAGGCTACGCGTACTCCCCGTGTTGCTCGTTTCCTTCTCTCTGAGGCGGCCGACGGAGACTTGGAGTGCCGGAAGGGCTGGGACTGCCATGAAACATAGAGGCCACAAGGGAAATGGTTCCTGGGCCCTGGGGCTGCCCTGGAGCCTTACAGTGGAGCCTTGTAGCCTTCCCTGGAACCTCGCAACATCTTCCCTGGGACTATGATCAATACTCACGGGGAGGACAAGGAGGACGAGAATAACGATAAGAGGAGGAAGAGGAGGAGGATGAGGAGGTGGTGGTGGTGGCGGTGGCGGTGGAGGAAGTGGAGGGCGGGAAAGGTGGAGTGGATGTCGAGGCGAGTGCGATGGGTGAGGGAGGCCGCGAGAGCGGGAAAGTGGCGAACCGACAACGCTCCAGGGCTGCGCACAGACGGCCCGCGGAGGTGGCCCAGGCCAGCCTCCACAGCCCCCCCACGGGTAACCTATAGAGTTAGGCTGGGCCTGTCCCCCTACAGGGGGATTCTGAACGAAAAATAACAAATACCCCCACAAATAATGAAAAGATGCCCACAATTCCCCCCCCCCCCCCCCAAAAAAAGTCACCAGATTATTTGGACTATTTTGGAACATTCCCCCTGTAGAGGGACATGCCCGACTCAGCTATGGAGCGGCCTCGCCGCCTGCGGCGGGCGCCCCCTGCGGCCCTGCGGAGCGCCCGCGGCTGCGCCCCGCAGACCGCTCCCCGGACCGCCCTGCCGAGGCCGGCCTCCGCGGGCTGCCTGCGCGCAGGCCCCGCAGCCCTGCCGAATGTGCGGGCC